TTCCTTGGTTTCAGCTTTGGTATTGGAGCTGCTTGATTCTACAGTTGACCTGTCTTTGTACATCACATTCTCATTGAAAATGACATCTCTGCTTCTGATGATCTTCCGATTTTCATAGTTCCAAAACCGGTAACCGAACTCATCACCGTCGTAACCAACAAAGGCACATTTGTTGGACTTAGCATCAAGTTTACTTCTTTCAGCAGAGTCTATGTGTACATAAGAAATACAACCAAACACTCTTAAGTGTGAAAGGTTTATTTCTTTCTTGCTCCAAATTTCTTCTGGTATTCTGCCATCCAAAGGAACTGAGGGTCCATGGTTGATCATGTAAGCTGCAGTGTTGATAGCTTCAGCCCATAGAAATTTGGGCAATCCAGCATGTATCCTCATGCTTCTGGCACGTTCATTCAGAGTTATGTTCATGCGCTCTACTACGCCATTCTGTTGCGGTGTCATGGGAACTGTTGTCTCTATCTTGATCCCATTGTTTGCTCAGAAATCTCTGAATCTCCTATTTCTGTACTCTCCTCCATTGTCAGACCTCAACCGCTTGACTTTATACCAGTCTCATTTTCCACCATGGCCTTCCATTTTCTGAAGGTATCAAAGACTTCTGATTTCTTCTTCAGAAAATAAACCCACACCTTCCTTGTAGAATCATCGATGAAAGTGACATAATATAATGAGCCTGCAAGAGATGGAACTGGAGATGGTCCCCATACATCAGTTTGAACTAACTCTAACTTTTCAGCCTTGGGTGTCTTACCAATCTTTGCAAAGCTGACTTTCTTTTGTTTGCCAAAGATGCAATCCTCGCATAGTCCGACATCTACATTCTTAAGATCCGACAGCTTCCCCTTTGACAAAAGTGTCTTCATCCTTTTCTCGCTCATATGGCCAAGCCTTTCGTGCCATAGGTTTGATTTTCCATTAGCATCTCCTACTGCAATGATATTCTCTAAATTTGATGTTATATAGAGAGTATCAGTTTTCTTACCACGAGCAATGACGAGTGCTCCTTTGGTAATCTTCCATTCACAGCCTGAAAAGGTTGTGCTAAATCCTTCACCATCAAGTTATCCTACAGAAATCAAATTTCTTTTGAGGCCAGGAATATGTCTCACTCCTTTTAGCGTTCAGGTGGTCTGGTTTGGCAACTTTAGTCGGATGTCTCCTTTTCCGACGATCTTCAAGGTTTCATCATCAGCTAGATGAACCTTCCCAAAATCACCACTGACATAATTTTCCATGATTTCTCGGCATGGGGTGGAGTGGAAAGATGCCCCTAAATCCAAGATCCATGATTTAATCAGACTGTTGACGCTTAGAATCATGGCATCACCTGTCTCCTCTGTCACGTTGGCAGATTCCTGTGCGCTGGTATTTTTCTTCAGTGCTCGGTAATCTATTTTAAAGTGACCCTTCTTGCCACAATTATAACAGGTAAAATCTTTCTTTCCCGTTGTGGATTTTCCCCGTCTGGATTTCTATCTGCCATGATTTGAATTTCTTTCTGAAGTTCTCCTTCTGGACTCCGAGTGCAAGGCTAAGGAGGTTGATGCTTTACCCGATTCTCTCCGTCGAATTTCTTCGCTCAGTACCAGATCCCGAACATCGTCGAATTTCAATTTACTATTTCCCAACGATCTGCTAGCTGCTGTAACAGTACCATTCCAACTGTCTGGTAGAGATGATAAGAGAATTAAAGCTCGAACTTCATCATCAAATTCAATTTCCACTGAACTCAATTGAGTTGTGATTGTGTTGAGTTCATTTAGGTGTTGTGCCATCGATGCCCCTTCCTTCATCCGCAAATTGAATAATCGCCTCATCAAGTGCACTTTGTTTGAGGCTGATGGCTTCTCATACATACTGGAGAGAGACGCCATAAGACCCACTGTGGTCTTTTCCTTTGCTATGTTGAAAGTAACATTGCGGGATAACGTCAGTCGGATAACTCCGAGGGCTTGTCTGTTGAGAAGAGCCCAGTCTTCATTCTTCATGCCCTCTGGTTGCTTTCCTGAGAGAGGTTGATATAGATTTTTCTGGAATAAAAAATCTTCAATCTGCATCTTCCTAAAGCCAAAGTCCGCACCATCGAACTTTTCAATTTTCATCTTCCCTTCGTCTGCAGCTATCGCTCCCACTCGAATCTGGTTTCGTTTGGATCGTTTCTGACAATTCTTGCGAACCACCGTGTATTAGAACACCTCCGTCGACAAATTCGTTTCGCCGACAAAATTTTACTATTCACGAAATTCACTATTCACGTGAATAGTAACCTCGCAAAAAATTGACAAAATTCACAGCCAAAAGCTCTGATTACCAGTTGTTGGGAAATAAACCGAGTACAAGTAATTTCCCTATAACCAGATTAGTGAGAATGCAAAATAAAAGCGGAAAAATAATACCCAAAATTGATAACGGAGTTTAGCCAATTGTGCTTACGTCTCCGGACTGCTGCAGATCTTTTACTAAGAGAGAAAATCTACAGGTGTTTATAAAACACTCACTACTCACAAGAAAGCTCTCTAGTATTGGGAGAAAGAAATGATTTTTGGGATGGTTTTGAACCTAAATGAGCTAGGGTATTTATAGTTGAAACTTAAGGACTTAATCTTGTAAATACCCTAAAACCTAGGGATTAATTGTGATTATCTCATTATCATTTTTCAACAAACATCTACCAAACTTTGAAAAACTATTTTTCAAAGAAACATTTACCAAACTTTGAAAACCATTTTCAAAGAAACATTTACCAAACTTTGAAAACCATTTTTTTCAAAGTTGGTTATCAAATTTGAAAACCATTTTAATACTTTCAACAGTGCTTTTCATGAACTCTCAAGTTATTTGGAAATTGCAATTTTTATTCTGAGAATCTATAAGATAAAGATAATATGTTGGTTTATGACCACTGTTTATGACCACGGATTCTATAATTGACCTGCTGTGAAAGAAAATCATATTCTGTTTATCATCCTATATATCATGCCGTGAATATCGCCTGCATTGCCTTGCCAAATGTCCGCTTATCTGTTCGGAGGTCTTATAAACCCTTTGAGCATTAAGGGTTCAATGATTCTTCATCCAGTTCTTCATGGAACATTAAGAACATCTCTATGGCCAAGCTTTCATCAGAAAACAATGCTAAAGACGTAAGAATGTATGGCTTCTTGGTCACAAGTCAGTGTAGCTTTAAATGAGCTTCTTCCCAGAGACGACTTATATCATGATTTTTTTTGCATTAATTTAAATGGACAGTCTAGCTATAACATGCATTCAAACAGCTTGCTTATTTCTAGGGCATCTTAATTTATTTGCATTCTCCGGGTTTTAGGTGAGCTTAGCAATTGGTTTCTTGTTTCTTGGTGGAGGCACGAGGACATCTTCTACCTGCAACTGTTCCATTGCAGCATTGCTTATCACTCTCTATCCACAGTAGCCCACAGGACCCAATGACAACCGTTGCCACCTTCAGGTATGTTAAGATTTTAGTATTAAGGTGTTTTTTGGGTAGCTTAAAATTGATCGGGTGGAAATAGTACATGGTTCAGCACAAGCAATATGAACATTATTTTACTATTGATTTTAGATGGTAATGTCCGGTGGGCTATATTTTCTTGAAGAGACTTAGAATTCTTTTTCACTTTTCCAAATTGGCACATATGCTCTACTTTTACCACTTCTCTATAAGATACTGCATTTTCCAGGCATTCAGACATTTGTATGTCCTTGCAACGGACGCTCGCTGGCTTCAAACTATTGGTGTCGACACTGACCTCCCTGTTTATGCTCCTCTTGAAGTCACAATCAGGGAAACGGAGCATTATTCTGAAACGAGTTTTTGTGAGATTACTCCTTGCATTCCGCCTGAGCGTTCTACTGTAAGTTCAAGATCTGTTAACAGACTTCCAAGGATTTTCATTATTTTCAGACCTTAATTTTCATGGAATAGATTTGGAAGCTGATTAGCATTAAAAAGCTTTCTCTTTATCCAATGGCATTTGTTACTCAGATTCAAATAAAAGTATCTTATATGAATACATGAACGCTTCTTTTTATATAAAGATTAAGTGCTTTATGCTCATGTTGGAGTATAAATGTTTTAATGAAAATGAAGAATCATACTACCATAAGTCATTGCTAATGTTTAGCAACCATAAATGGTTGAAGATGAAAAACCATAATTTGACTAGAATAAGTACTTCAAGGATGCTAATATGAAATACAAATAGAGAGATATGGGGTATCAATCCTCGTACCCACAGATGGAACGAGGGATCGTTTTCTGCAAATTTCAAATTCTCATATGTTTTAAATTATTTTTTTTTTATTAATAATATGTTTTTACCTCTTAAAATTTAATAAATTTGTCCTATGACATAAATCCATGTTTTTTGTTTCTGCTTAAACCTCTCACATGCAAAGCAAGCACTCAACCATTTGAACTATATGTCCATTAATAATTAAACACAGGCAAAAAGACATAAGATATATTTGTACTTTTGAAAAAACCCAATGTGGTTCTCGTATTATTTTTCTCTCAATGTAGCTTTTTAAGTAAAAAAAAAAACCAACGTAATATTTTGACCAATGTTTTTCGTCGTTGACTGTTATGGTGCTGATGTGGCAGTTCACGATGCTGACATGGTGGTCCATGGTGCTGATGTGGCAATCCATCTGCCATGTTTGAGTTACCAATTTAGCACATATGACATGTCATCCGCTATGTTATCAACTATCGTAAACTGTCATGTCAACACCGTGGACCACCATGCTAGCACCGTGAACTATCACGTTAGTATCGTAATGGTCAACGAAGAAAAACACTGGTCAAAACGCCACATCGCGTTATTGTTTAAGTTGAGGGACCTCTGATGCCTTTTCCCTAAATTATATAAACTAATGTAAAAATTAAACATGGTAAAGGGACTAAAATCATAATTTGATCGGAACACTTGAGGGATGCTAGAATGAAATACAAATAGAGATAGTAAGTGGAAAGGAAATTGTGCTTAGTTTCCATATGAAAATTCCCGACATATGCAATCTACAAATTTGTGCATTGGCTGAAGCCATATTTTGCTTCAGCCGAGTGTTTGAAATCTCACATTAAACCAACCCAAAAAAAACGATGATCCATTCCCATACAAAGTTACATTTTATCAAATTTTAGAGAGAAACTTATAAGAAAAAAATATTAAAAAGGTAAATTGATAACACGAATTACGTGTCACGATCGAGAAATAATACGTGTATAGAGGAATTCATTCCACGTATCGGGTAGCCCGGGGAGGCACCAATGGATACAATCGGCATACTTGGCCGGGTCGGCTTTTTGTTCCGGGGTTAGGATTTTACCTTGTCGGATGGTGTGCGTTGCTGTATGTGCGTCTTTTCTATATTCCGAAAGGGTTGTAATGTCGATGAAATGGACCTGAACTTTCATGTTTCGGGAAATGTTGGCAGCTATGACATAGAGCCGACGGTCCGTGCCCACGTTTAGGTACATTGACTGGTTGAGAATTGGGGTCGTCTCTAGGGCACATTTGATCCCATCTGGGTTGTTCCAATCCAAGCTCCTGCACACATTGATGGGTTCAAAATTTTATTGACTCATTTCCATCCACTAAGATGTAATCTGTTTCGATTCGATTTTTTAAATTTTATAAATCATTTATGAATAATTTAATTTGATTCGATTCATTTTTTGTATTAATTTTAGATTTTAAGTTAATAATTTGATCTAATTTCCACCGGTTGAAAGGTCATAGACCCACGTATCAACCACTGAGGTTGACCTAAATTTGGATGCTTTATTCTAACTACTATGGCCATTGACAGCTAATCACAATCAAAAGAGTATATATATATATTGTAAACCTAAAACTAATTAAATTAAAAATGTTATGCACTTAAATATTAAATAATAATAGGATAAAATATATTAGATATCGAACTTTAAGCGTTATATCGTTTGTACCACTGAACTTTCAATTTTTCCAATTATAACACTAAGCTTTGATTTTTGTTTCAATTATACCACTGAACTGTTAAATCATTAATGAAACGATGACGTTGTTGACAGCTATTGACGTGGCTAACGACTGTCGACGTAGACATCTCACCAAAATGACGTTGTTTTGATCTGATTGTTAACAATTTAACGCCCAAGTGGTATAATTGAAACAAAAATCAAAGTTTAGTGCTATAATTGAAAAAATTGAAAGTTCAGTGTTATAAATGATGCAACGCCTAAAGTTCAGTGATATATAGTGTAGTTTTAAAAATTATCAATTAAGACCTAATCGATATAATTAATCACCTAATTTTCATCTGATATAAGGTTTAATCACGATTAGCAAGTGGTGTTCTCTCCTTGTTTTTCTATTGACATAAAAGATTAGGTTTTGTTTTTGGTGAAGTTAGTTATAGCTACTCTTTATTTATACAATATTTTTTTGCACATATTTAATGACTCGTTATGAATTAGAGGATTTATCTTAGAAATTCAAATGATTTTAAACTTGAAATAACTTGAACATTTTAAGAAATCGAATTGAACCGACTTGAGTTGACTTGATTCAAAACTAAATTGACTTATTCGATTAATAGATCTAGATTTACCTGATATGAAGGGGAGACATGCTGCTGAAGAAGACGGTGGTTCGATTTGGATTCACATTTTTATTAACCCACTTAGACCATGTGCTCAACACCCTCTTGTACGCTATCGGCCGGTCGATCTCGTCGTACTCGGTGTCTCCTTTATCGAACGATCCTCGTCTGTTATACGAAATCGACAAAAAAAACATTACATTGAATCAAAACATTTGATGAAACAACAATGTTTTTGTTTTGTTTTGGGGGATTACTTACAAGACTTTCATGGTGGCAGTGTTCATCCACCAAATGTAAGTGTTGAAAACCAAATAGTCAACTTTTTTCCAGTTCTTGCCATGGGTTTTGATGGATCCAGGCATAATTATGCGGTTCAAGACGCTGTGCATGTCTGGGTTGTCTGAATTTGATTGCACCAGAAATGGTGCCCAATAAAACTCTACCGTCGCATTGTAATCCTGCAATCACAAAATATATATATTCATTAATCTTTGCATAGATCTGCTCTACTTCAAGTTTGAATCATTTAAGGTTTAAATTTCTTTCGGATTCAAATCATTCAAGTTTGAGGTTTGATTTTTTCGAGTTTGATCATTACGAGTTAAGATCATTTTTAATTCTAGTTACTTCGAGTTGTAGGATTGTAGAATACTAGACGAAAACGACATTTTCCCATGGAATATTTGTTTGGCAGCTGAGAAAATTAATTGTACCTCGATTCTAAATATAGAGAGAGAACCTATCTTCTTCAAGCTCTTTCTTCCAGGAGGAACAGCAGATTGAACCAGACAAACCATGGATTCCCATTGGTTTCTGTTCAATGAATCTCCAACAAACATTAGCCTCTTGTTCCTCAGTTTCTCGAGCAGTAATCTTGGTTTGTACCTTAAAACAACAGGAACTAAACATGTCAGAAACATGGTGTAATTTCGATTTTAATCCCTCAACTTTATAATATTTGAGACATTAGTCCCTATATTTTGATACTTACTTGGGTAAGTTACAATCTCTAGGCTGCCATCTCCAGTTCTGATACCTAGAATCTTTTCTCCCATTCCTCACGCATGTTACTTGCGCCGAAAGGAACTCACACTCATCTTCTTTGTACAAAGGATGTGTTTCATTATCAAACACCCATTGTCCGGTGAAGAGATCACATTCTTCTGTAGGCAATTCGATGTCTTCGTCTTCTTCTTCGACAACCGGTAGAATCTCAATCTTTTGTTGTTGTTCATCATCTTCTTTATTCTCTACAATCTTTATCGGTTCATCGTCTTTCACCGTCTTCGTTGATTTCAACTCGTCGATGACGGTACCGGCTCCCTTCACCTTTTCCTCGGTTTTAATAGATTCTCGAAGCATTACCGGGTTGTTATTACCCTGAATTCCGGTAGCTTTAGGCCTCGACGAGAACGCAAAGTCAGCTATGGACTTGACGTCCTCGTTGTACATGAAAAGCCCGAACAAGAAGACGGAGAAGACGAGGGCGAATATGGAGAGACTGTTGTTTCTCCGGTGTTTCATGGCTCCGGTTTCGGTGAAAGTCTTACTACGACGAAATGGATGCATGAGTGAATTGAAAGAGTGTTGATTAGAGCCGGTGGAAACGAAGGGAAATGGAAGGAAATATAGGGAGGGAAGATGCAAATGAAAATAATTACGTAAGATATTGTTTTAGTTTATTATTTTATGTTTTGTTTAATTAGGGTTAGGTAAGAAGGGTTTTTCTTCAAGAAAATGGCCATGGTTGTAGAATGATAGTTGTCTTTCTCTTTTATATATATATATATATATATATATATGGGTTAGGATCTACTTACACAATATAAAAACTCTTTAGTTTTACACAAATGTATGACAGTTAGATGATCGAAAATAAATTGTTGAGATTGACTACTTATTTTTTTCCACTGAATATCTTCTCATTTTCTATTGTGTAATAGGATTCTATCCCTATATATATCTGAGAACGAGACAATAATCTTTATGGTAGGTGGTATGGGTTCGAGTCTAATTTATATTGATTTAAGTCCAATCATATATGAATCTCATTTGAATTTATACTGATCATTAGTTTTATCTAAAAAAATTATTATCAATTCGATTATATGTTGTATTTATCATTTGATTATAGTTAGAGATGACAACTGATCGGGTTGATCAATTTATTTATTAACTCAACCCAAACCAAGAAGCATACACCCTCCATCCTACCCAACCCAACCCTGAAGAGTGTATTTTCTCTACAAGAATCTGACCCAATATGAATTTTGGAGTAAAACATGCATCCGAACCGACTCCACATAATATAAACATATAAAAAAATATTTTTATTCAAAAATAGGGATCTAATTAAAAAATATAAAAAGTCGAGGTATTATAGTAATCATCCTTAAATTTTCAGGAAAAAAAACTAAACTAATACCTCGATTCGGGTCAAAGATTGTTCACCTTAAAATTAAAATTGACTCGACCCGGTCTCACTCTCTATAAAATCGACCTGAATCCAATAAAAACACTAAATTACCATCTCTAATTGTAGTTTTTGTTTGTTATATTTATTTATTGATTTTGTTTATAAACATCTGCATCTTTAACTACTTTGTTTGATGGAAACAATCTGAGGTAGAAAAGAAAGCAAAGTGAAGTGAAGAGTGAAATCCAAGGTTTGCCAAGTTGGTCCTTATCTACCTAAGATTAGGACACGAAATTGGAACATGAAAGGTGTAGTGTTTTCTATAAATCAGATGTTTGATTTGGAAGCTTCATCGAGACATGAAAATATATTGTCTATCATATACATATATCCCCATGGAAAGTTAAAAAGTTGTTTCTTATTTGTGAAGTCAAATACTGAATTTGTGGATTCTAACCCCGAACTCGAAAAACTTGACTCAATTAGTTTGATCGATTCGTATACGATATCGATGTATAATTAGATTTTCGGGCAGAGATTTTTCTTAAGAGAACAATAGTGTTAGTCTGAAATAAACAAATCAAAATTGCCAGCATGATTTTGCAAGAACGGGCCAAACAAAAATAATAATTTTGGATAGCATAAGCATGCATTATTTGTTAACTAATTATAACCCTTTTATTTAAAAATAAAGATTCAGATAACGTTGGTACATAAATTAATGTTGAAAATACCACGAATAATGAACTTACGTGCCTCACATATTCTCTAACCTAATATTATATTGTGATTCCATTGACTAAATCAAAATTACAAATTTTCAAAGTAATGAACATACTATATTTTGAGAAGATCAATGAAGAGTTCGGTTGATTTTTGAGTTGGGTTAATTTATGTCGGATCTTTTAAATTGTAATTTTTTTCAGTTATTCTAGGAGGGATTGTTTTTGGGTTAGATTTAGTTTGGGTTCGAGTTTGTTATTTTAGATTTGATTTTGTAATTGACTCCTTTTTCGAACTAAATGAAAATTGAAAACCATGTGATATCATCGGTGATAGTTTATCTAGAGCATCTAAGATCGAACATCGTCCAAAAGCCTTAGCGAAGCCCATGATCCAATGTCCATTGGAGTCTCGCAGATCATCCCCACAAAAAGTCACACATGTATTCGACTTTCGAACCTTATCTATTTGTAGACATCATATTTCGTCCTAATTATGTACACATTTTCTTTTTTTGCAGGCCCAACAGTAGCCTGAAATACGAGCCCAATGCAGCAGCCCAAGTTACACACCCAAGACCCGCTGGAGCTGCGACCCGGGTCCAGCAGTGGACCCGTAAACCATATTTCCCCTTCAGCAAAGACTCCCCACGATGCACGAACCCAAACAGCCGAAGCTCTCGGTCAACTACCCAGTTCTTAAGGCATCGTACACGCATGAAATAGGAACGAACCCAAATATCAGTATTTCACTCGGATTTAAACTCTTAAAAGTAGGATTCACATAACCTTATAAATACCCATGTAAATCAACACCATTACACACACAAGATCATACGATTACGAGAAGAAAAATCCTACGACCAAAGAGATCGAAGCTTTTGTACCAATCTTGAAGCTATATAAAAAAGGTATAATTTTTACCTTTATTTCGGCTGGGTTTTTGTTGCTTGCCTATTCTATTTCACTTTGTTTGAACTCTGAGAAGACGAAAAGGGTTCGACCGAGCAATATACAGAGGCTTTAAAGGCGAAAGAAGCTCAGAAGCAGACCGCACAAGCTGATAAGGAAGCTGGGAGGTTGTTGGAAAGGAGATGAAAATACTGCAAATGAAATAAAAAAGGGGGCTGGATTTTTTGTGTTCACACGTTACAGGAATATAAGGGGGGAGTGTTTCATTTCACTTATTTTGGGTAAATCACATGTCAGGTCCCTAGAGTCTGGAAACTTCATGCTTTATTCATTTATCTTAGGGGTTAATCCCCTTTCAGGTCCCACATTTTTTTATAGTATTCGTTTCGCCCCTAGATCGAATTTACATGCCAATTTTCCTTTTAAATTCATCCCCTAATTTTGTCTCCCTTTTAATTTAATCCTTTTATCTTTATTATTATTATTATTATTATTATTATTATTATTTTATTTCTTATTTTATTTATTTATACGATATTACATATATATATTATATTTTATTTTTTAATCATTTTATTATTTTTATTTCTTTATTTTTATTATTTTATTTCTTTTATTTCTATTACTTTGTTTATATATATATATATATATATATATATATATATATATATATATATATATATATATATATACTCTCTTTTATTTATTTAATTTATTTAATTTTTTATCTTTATTGTATTTATTTTTTTATTTCTAGTTTCTAGTTTTTATTTTTAATTTTTTTATTATATATTTTATTTTTTCCTTTGTCTTTTTCTTTATATTTTTATTATTTTTTTCCTTTATTATATTTATCCTATTTAACTTCATTTTATTTTATTTTATTTTATTTTATTTATCTTATCTTATTTATTTCATTTGTTTTTTAATTGTTTTTTTTTATTTTATTTACTTTCATTACTTTTTTCCTTCTAACAAGTGTCTTGACTTTTTAAGGGTACGCTTTCAAATCATCCGAGGTAAGTAATTCAAATCGAATATTTCAAATTTTAATTTAAATTTCTATTTTCGCAATTAAGAGAACCAAAAATTAATTGGTACCGAAAGGGCGGTTCAAGGGTGCTAATCCTTCCTTGACTGTAACCGACTCCCGAACCCGACACATTCCTGGTAAAACGCAGATCAAGTAAGATGTTGTCCGATCTACCTAAATATCGTTTTAAAATGATCGGTGGCGACTCCAATTCATATTTTTCAAGTCGAAGCCCAATTCTGGGGCCCAACCGAAAGACGGTCACGACAGCTTGGCGACTCTGCTGGGGACCGGTAAGTGAGTCAAGCCGAAATTAATTTTCGGTTGTTTTTTTATGCGAAAATGGTAAATTTAAATTTAAATTTATTTATTCGATTCCAGTTATTTACCTTTGATTATTTTTCAAATAAATAGTTTTACTAACATTTTTTAATGATTTCAGATTTTTCAAAGTTTTCATCTCAGGCTCTATACCCGAGCTCCAAACCCTATTTAAGTGGGGGTGAAAGCGACGCCTTCGTGTGAATTTATTCACCGTGCGAGCCTAACAAGTAGCCTTCGGGATTCATATACCTTATGTCTTCGTGTGGATTTATTCACCGTGCGGGCATAAGGGAATGTGTCCTCTCGAGTTTAACTTAGTTCACACAAGCCTATGATGGGCTTAGGACTAAGGATCTGGCAAGCCCAAGGGGGCACCGGCAAGGAGAACTCGAGTACCTTTTTAGAACCTAAACCGGGAGAGTGCAGGGAATTAGAGCCCACCCCAAGACCTCATTCCAAACCCTAGGATGCTTTGTTTCCTGCTTTATTTTCTGTTCAAAGCATGCGAACTAGACAAATATGCGGTTAGGATTTGTTTGAAATTAGCATGCGGGATAGAGATCATGTCCGGGTAGGAATTAAAGCATGCGGGGTAGATATCATGTGGGGTAGGATTTTTCATTTCTTTGTTTTGATTTACCTCACTAACCCTTTTATTTTTTGTTCTTTTTTATTTTGTGTTCATCGTTTGCATCATTTAAAATGATGTGTTGATCCACCAAAAATGTGTTTGTTAAACATGAATAATTTGTATTAATGGACAAAGGGGTTACAATACAAAGAGATAAAAAGCTCAGAAGTCCAGACGTGGTCAAAGAATACTCAGAGGCAAAGGTTGCAGGGGCAAGACGAGGAAAATGTTGCTGACCCAGACGCTCCTTTTGAAAACTACGATAAGAAGTGGCAAAACCCCATCTAAGCTGCAGACCATTATTGACGAATTCTAGAAACAAGTCGATAAACTTCGGATAGAGGGCTCCAATGGCACTTTTGTTTGGATCAAGCTCGACATAGAGTGAAAGCCGGAGATGCAGTCCTTCGAGACCCCTTTTGGGGCAAGCAGCCCATCACCTGCACAAGTTTAGCCAAAGGAGCCGGAATGGTTCGACAAGATATTCAACCAGTGAAAAAGACGAATCAACTTTTCAGAAGTTGTGCAGGATTTGTACCATCAAAAAAGTTTTTGTCTCTTCAGACGT